CGTGCGCGCTGCGCCCCGCCGCTGCCGGGCTGCAGCGCCGCTATACCGCTACTCGCTGCATTGTAAACATCTGGGGCTGGGTTCGCACAGACCTCACACGCATTTCATTGTCATATTTTTTTTTTTAAAGAAATTATTTCAAAGTAAAAGTCATGTGGCCGTTTCCATGGCTGAAGTTTCGAGCTTTTCTGTAGTACTAATTAGGTTTTTAGTAAGAGCATGCTTCTGGTAATGTGTTTTCGGCTGTCAGCGCTAGCAATGTAACCTTTATTCGGTTTTCCTGCCTGTGCAATCTCAAATCGGAGTAACTGTAGTAAATCACAATATATTGCATTGTAACTCTTAAGTGACTGCGTCCTGCTATAGTAGCATGCTGAGAAAGTAAGCTCTGTTATGCAAGTGTTGGAGGAAACTCTCTGACTTGCCTCCCTGGTGGAGAACCACGTTTTGGTTCTTGGGTTGTTTTAAATAAATCCAGATAAACCTGGGTATAAATCTTCTGTTAAATTAAAACAACTTAAAGTGACTTAAGTTAGATCCCTTCTTAGCTAACGTGTAAAGTATGGAGTACTTCAGCAGGTTGCCATGCTGTGTGATAGACATTACTGTTAATTCAGCTGTATTTCTATTAGATACCCATAATACAGGCTTACAAACGGGGAGGAGAGGGCTGCTGTATCATATGTCACTACTTCACTTGCTCCACCTTGCAACTTCATACTTTATCATGCACTTAATGTTTGTAAAAGCTTTAGATGTCAAAGCAGCTGAATCTTACCACCTCCCTTTCTATATTTTATAGAAAGACAAATTCTTGAAAAACATAGCTATGATGAAGGCTTCACTTTGCTGAATTTGTGTGGAATGAGGTCCTAGCACTGCATTTCTTAGATTACTTTTGTTTGTAGAGGAGGACAGTGTCGTTCCCCTAAAATGGGACTCTGAAAGCTTTGTGTGCAACTCTGAGAATGCACACAGCCATTCTGCGTAGAGCATTGCTGCTGAAAAGGCTATAAGGGGCCCAATCTGACAACAGTGTACTCGGAGAAGTGACTACTCATCTGAGCAGTCCCACTTAGCCAGCAGAACTGTTCAGTAAGTAAAGTTGCACACATGCATGAACTTCTGCAAGATCATGCCAAGAAGAGGAAGAATACACTGAAATGCGCATATGCATCCTTCTACTCTTTCAGCCTACATGCAAGAACAACCCCCTGCAACTATAGGATGTGATTCTTTTTTCCTAGTTTTCCAGTCAGTGCACCAGAAAGAGAATTGGCATTCTAGGTGATGTCATGGTTATTGTCATATCTGCAGAGTATCTACTGAAAGAGAGAATGTAATTTGTTTCATATAAAAGCAAAACAATGCCTTTATTATACATAGTTGTATCCTGTCCCTCAAGTTTATGTGCAGTGAAGAAAGGATTCCCATGATCTTAAAACTTGCAACTTGCTAACCACACTTACATCACAAAGTCAGACCTAGTGTACATCTTTAAATACAAAACAATTAGGATCTTGGTAGCAGAAGATAAGTCAAACAGTTGTATGTTCTTCTTTAATAGCCATTGTAATTTGCAGTGTGAAATTGTGTTTTCTGTAAAAGTACATAGTCTGAGATCATTTAAGAATATATTTACTGTGCCTTTATTTCAAGGGTGCCTGTGTAGCAAAACATTGCAAGTGATTCACAAAATCTATGTTTTTTCATAACCTCACATGTAGCTGTGCCATCATAATGCTGCCGTAATCCCCAGCTGGACTGATTCCATGCAAATATATGGTATCTTTAAGGTAGTCTAAAATCCGTAATTAGATGTGAATAGATTTCTACCATGCATAAAGGGTTAGCCAGCCAGCCCACTAAATTGTAGCCTGTTTAACATTAAAGGCTATTTAATCTCTAATAGAAGTTCCTCTTTTGAAACCATGCTTTCCTAAACAAATAATAGTGACTGTTCACACACAAGACGTTGAAATATTCTAATTTGGAGGCTAATTTTCTTTTTCTCATATGCTAATGTTTAAAATCCATTTATGCTGCAGTAAAGCCTTATCTGTAGGGCTGTAAGATCATGATATGTTGTGTAATTAGACAACAGCTTTCATGGCTGGCTGCCAGTTAAGCACTGTCAAGTAAGAAGAACAGTTGGAGAAAGTCAGAATAAACATTCAGAAAACAGAATTTAGTCTCCAGCCTTTAAATGGCTCAAGCAGCATTCATAGGTTTGCTCTATAAATATTGTGTAGAGTGTGCTAAATTAAAGTTTACTCTGGCAGATGTTTTCCAACTTGATTGCTTGAAACTTCCATCAGCCTTTCTCTACCTATAGGGTGATGGGAAGAGAGGTGGCTTCTGACTTCTCTGTCAGGAGGCTGGGGGAACTTGCAGAATTTGGCATAGCTGGAGGGTGTCGTTCACTAGATAGAAGTAGGACACTTCCTACGTTTTGTTTTATTGTTCCTTACAGCTGGAAGTTTGTTCTCAAAATGCAACTAAAGCTCGTCCCACAGCACCACAGCTATGAAATCCCTTGCCCCTGTTCTTGATACAGCCATTTGTATGCATGAGTAAGGAAAGCTGTACTGCTTTCTGGTGACGTAAGTACTTGTTGGGGGAAAAACAAAACCAAAAAGCCTCCCAAGAGCAATTACAAAAGCTTTCACTATAACTTGAGATCTGGGATGACCAAGAGAAGCTTAGGCCATATATTAAAATGGAGAGAGAACTGCACAGGTGCAGATTCTGCCTTTACTTGCACCCAGAAAGCTTTCTTGAAGATAGTGAAACTCTTTGGGTTTAATGGATGGTGTTCATCGGGCTATGTGATATATGATAAGCTGGTTCAGGAAAACTTGGACATATTTTTGAGTGTTACACTATTTTCGATTGACTTTTAAGGCAACTGTTAATAGAGCTATGAAGCACACAGACTTCAAATTTACAGGACAGATCTTAGTAGCTGAAGAACAGTAACACAAAATGTGATGCTTAACTAGCAGCAGCTAACCTGCAGTCTGTGGAGGGAGCTCTGCCTGGGTGAGGATTGCAGGATCAGGCCATTATTTAGGTACGTGTTTATGGAGTGGCGTCTGTGTCATTGAGCCTGGACGCTAGCGGGAAGAATTGCTGGAGCGATTCCTGCGGGCTTTGGACCGAGCAGTGCTATGCAAAACCTACGGTAGATGGCGGCACATCCACTGCCTGGTGTCACCTCTGCTCGAAGTCGGTGGACAAGAAGGGGCTGGATCCTCAGCTGTATGAGCTAATTTAGCTCAAGCAAAGCTAAAAGGTCTTATACCAGCTGAGATCCTATTAATTGGCCTTCTGAGCGTCCAAAGTGGATTAATCCAAACAGTGGAAAGGCACTGCAATTGCAGAGTAAGAGTGTTCACTGGGGGAGCTAGCATGAAATAATTAGCTACTTCTCACAAGCTCACCTATTCCAGGCTTTTCTCTTGAGTATGCAATTACCTTTTATACATAGCTTTAGGATCTGCTGAAGTCCCTGATAGTCTTTGGTCTTGCTTTAGTTAGTGTGGGATCAGATTAGCAACATAGTGACTAATAGCAAGAAAGTTTTGAGCCTCACTCTGTAGCCCAAAAGATTAGCCACTCTAATTACTAGAAATGCTGAACATTACTGCTGAGGGTTTTAAGTGTGTGCATATATACATGACATATAAATACAGACTGATACTATGTATTGAGTTATATACATAAAGATAGCATTAAAACTGTTTCAATTAAGTATACTCAGTTTGATACTCAGTTTTTTGATTATACCTCAGGTGTAATAAAATCAGAAAGCTTGCTAGGTACCTTAACCTCAGCAGTAAAGCTCAAACCAGATTAGAATACTTGGTAAAATATGTTCTTTTGCTACTGAACATTTTTTAAGCTAGCTCTTTGGGGTTAGCGACTCCTCATGAGCTGGTGTTTGTAAATTAATGTAAGAACTTTTCTCTGTTTTTCTGAAGACTGATTAGTAGGCATATATGTTTTGTTGTTTTACTCTCTATACAGATCTGATTTATTTTTTTGCCAATCAGAAAGACTTAAAATAAGAAATAATACTGTTTTAGTG